AAAAAAAAAGTAAAATAGGACGTCTACAGAAATTGTCAAAAGCTATCCGCATCAGTTAAAATTGGGTAGAATAAGGAAGATTAAATATTGCATCCTTCCTAATATCCACTCTAACCACTCTTATTCAACATCATAGTTGAACTAAAAATTCAGCTGTTGCAATAAGACAAGAACACAAAAGTTATATGGCTTGGAGAGGAAAATATATTCTAAAATAGAAGTTAAGATAGAAAATCTCATGTAATACACAAAAATCTCTGGAACTTATAACTTCATCAAGGTTTCAGGATAGGAAGGTAAAACACAAAAACAAGCCACATTTCTAAGATAAGTTGGGAGTACCTGAAAATACATTTCTGTCGTTAATACTTTCAAAGAAAATGAAATACTTTGGGTATGATCCTAGAAAAACAGGTACAAGTCTGGGTGCTGAAAACTACAAAATGTTGATGGAATCAAAGAAAACATAAAGGAATGGAGAGGTACATGACAATCATGGATCAACAAACTCAACATAGTAAAGATAATGACTTTTTCCAAAGTTATCTATTAATTAAATTCAAGTCATAAAAATATTGGCAAGTTTCCTTGTAGAAATAGACTAGTTTATTCTGAATTTTTGTGATGAGGCAAAGAAACAAGAATAGGTGAAAATTTTCAGAAAAATAAAAAATAAGATGGGAAGAATCATTCTGCATTATGTTGACTTAGTCTATAGTTGCAATAATAATGGCTGCGGTACAGGAGAAGGAACAGACACAGTGATTAAATGGGATCTAAATGAAAATGAGAAATAGATCCTCACACATAGACCCAAGTGATTTTTGACAGTGATGCAAAAGTGATTCAGTGGGTGCCAGGGATTTAGCTCAGTGATTTCACTGCCTGCTGTGCAAGCACAAGGACCCAAGTTCAATCCCGAGTACCCCCCCCCAAAAAAAAGTGACTCAGTGGAAGGAGAGCAACCTTCCCAAGGACAGTGTTGAAAAATTGTGATACACATTGGGCCTAAAAGAGAAGAGAAGAAACTTGACCTTAACCTCATACATTATAAAATAGTTAACACTAACTAGATCACATGCTTAAATGTAAAGCACATAACTATGTAATATTTAGGACAGCAAAACAACAGCACAGAAGGTTCAGGTAAAGAATTTAAAGAAGTGCCAACAAAAGCACAACCATAAAAGGAAAAATAGATTTATTTGCGTCCTCCAAAGGCGGACAACTGTTGTGAAAAAAAGTTTCTTGTTAAGAGGAAAGGAGAACTACATGTCATAATTCTAATGGCCCAGTGGAGAGCCTCATTTTAAAGAAATAGTTCTGACTGTTGACTGCATTGATGGTTATGCAAATGTGCACATGTGATGAATTTGGATGCACCTACAGACACACAGACAAGGAGAGCACAAGAAACTGGAAAGTGTGGATTGTATCATTTCCTATTGCTATAGTTACAAGTGTATACTAAATTTGTACTTACGCAAGACACTGCCACTGGGTAAAACAGGACAAAGACTATATGAAACCCCATGGTTTATTCTTTTTTGCCAATGTTCTATAAATTTATAAGTATTTCATGACAAAATTGAGTTAGTAAGTAAATAAGAAGATGTTTAAAATGGATGCGTACCCGCCTGTTTGTGAAGGTAGAATAACATTCTTTCACCAGCACTGTTTTGATCATGTCAGGATCTGTGATAGCTAACACAGGCTGTTGACCATCATAAAACCTGTGGTAGGAAAACAGCTTATTAAACCTTTCCTTTCAGCATTAAATGAAAAGGAAATCAACATAAAGAATGTCATGCATTTGAAAGCATACAATATTAAGGTCTCAAATAATGCAATTAGAGGGGACTAAAGAAAAGAAAAATGGAGACTAGAGGAATAGCAAAACTATTAGAAACGAAGGCTAATTGTCCCTGGGCAAACAAAGCCTGAAGAAAAGTAATAACATGTCACCTTCTCAATCTAATTCAGATTGTGGACTTCAACTCCTGTGATGTATTGGAGCCTTGGCCAGACTCACCTCCAAAATCTTATAATAGTTACATCCCAAGAGCTCTGGACTGACATTATCTTCAGGCAGTAGATACTTCACCCTAACATGATAACCAAATTCAAGTTTCCAGAATACTCACCCCCATATGTTTCCATACTTTTTATAACATTTTGTGTCAAAAACCCAAAAACCCTGGGAAGAGAAGAAAAATTAAATTCCGTTATTGTGCTAAATGTTAGATATGACCACATTTGTAATAGACACAAATGACTGGAATCACATGAATTCAGGTTAATATCCCTCCCTGGAAGTTGGAGGGAAGACCTTACTTAGAGATATCTGAAAGAAAACAATATCTCCTTGTCTATCAATAATAAGTATTTCTTTCTCTTTTAGTAGTATTTGTTCTTGTTCCTCTTGTGATGTCTCTGAAATCCTGGAACCTCAGCATTATTTTCTCTGTGAGCATGTATGCAAACCAAAGCTGAGGAAAGTGAGTTTCACAGGAGCAAGCAAGCTCTTTTACTTTCTCATTCAGCATCCTTTTCATTGATTTTTATAAATTTTTTGGAATTCTAGCTTATTTAGGATCTTGAAAGCATTAAGGACATTATTTCAGACAGGTAAATTAAAACAGTGCTGAGATTCTATCTCACTCCTAAATAAATGGCTATTATCAAGAAATCAACCAACAACAAATGCTGGCAGGGATGTGGAGGGACCCTTCTCCACTGTTGTTGGGAGCATAGACTGATGCAACCACTGTGAAAAGCAGTGTGAAGATTCCTTTAAAAACTAGGATAAAAAGTCCCATTTGACCCAGCTATTCCCTTTCTTGGTATCTTCCCAAAAGAATAAAAAGCATCATACCACAGTGTTATATGTACACCCATGTTTATAGAGGCACAGTTTGTAAGAGCTAAATCATGGAAACAACCCAAATTCCCATCAACTGATGAGTGAATAAAAAAGATGTGGTATTTTTACACAACGGAATACTATTTGGCCAAAAGAAAGATAAACTTGAGACATTTCTAGGTAAATGGATGCACCTTGAAATCATGCTCTTAAGTGAAATAAATGGAACACACATGTGTAAATATATTATTTCTCTGGTGCAAGAAATTGAAGGTATAAATAAAGACCAAAATGCATAACAGATATTATGAAATAGGAAGAAATTGTTCAAAATTATACTGAGTGTGGGATACTTTGTTAATAATTAAAATGTTTTATGCAAATAAGTATAGTAGTATTAGGAAATGAGCTGAGAGATAATTACCAAATGAAATTATATTCTTTTAAGATTATGATATTTAACATTGTTATTCTCTAATTATTTTTGTCATAAAAATTATTTTTTCATAGAATGCCTTTTATATTTTATTTATTAATATATACTTCTATTACATGATAATAAAAAGTAAGAAATAAACAAACCTCTGCCCCCAAAAAACCACCAATGATATCATCATCAACAAATTTACATTGCAGTCATGTTGTTGAGTGAAAATATGAGTTAATGAAGACAAAGTATCCTCTCCTTCTAGTACTCCCACTCAATACAGTAATTTGGGGAGAGGTCACCTCTACACATAGACACAGAAAATTAAACATAAGCTCTGAGTTTTTACTTCTGAAAATTACAAATTTTTAGTTTCAGTTGTGATGTTGTAACTATACAAAAAAGTTCCCAGAGGTCTTTATGTACCTTCCTGGAATCTGCATGGGGCAAAAAGAAAATCCCTCTTTGATACTCTTAAAGTCTTAATATGAAGTCCTCAATATGGAGTACTGATATGCAAGACAGCTGAGCTGATCAACCCAGACAAACTTGGGCTCCAAAACGTTACAATCAGCCTCCCAGGAAAAAAGCTGGCCATGCTCTAAGTCAGGCCCACACAACACATTCTGAAAAATGAGTATGTCCCAATTGCATGCTAAGGATCAGCTTTTTTACTAATGGAACCAAGCTGGTCTTCACAACCATAAAAGGTAAAAGAGGGAAAACAAACAATACTCACCTTGTGGTAAGACAGAATAGTTCCAAAAAAGGGGAGAGGTTTTGGCCCAGGAATTCCCAACTTCTTAAAAAGGCCATGTGAAGAGGTCCCATATCTACAAGGTGATAGAGAAAGCCAGGTACTGGGATTGTGATTGTATAAATATGAGTCACTAGTCACTGACTCAGGAACTGGAGGTCAAGCCAGGAAGATAACATGTAATAAATAAATAATAACAAAAACTCCACAGCTATAATTACAATTTCTCATTTTCTTCTCTCTCACATTCCCTGAAAAATTCCCCAAACCACAAAGCTTAGCTAAAAGTAGCTGAAACCATGAGGCTCCCAATGTAAGAGTGAGCACTTGAAAAAATGCCCCCAAACTTGAGTTTGAGAGTTCCTGAGTGATGCAGGCTAGAACTTTTCAATGTCATTTCAGTCACTTGAGTTGACTTAGGAAGTAGATGTGATGCCAACATGTCTACTCTCTACTGACTTTCAGCATGGGCCAGTGCACCTGTGTATCTCTAGTTCTACCTTGAATGGAAAGGAGAGGAATGTTCTCCCGCTTGCTCCTAACTCCTACCTGGATATCTTTTATTTCACCACTGGCTCACACTCTCCTTGAAAATGA